ATACAGTATCTTGAAAGGCCCTCCAAAGACTCTCTACCTGGTCTTGGGCAGGAAGAGGAAGGGATTGGGATTGCAAGTTTTTTTTCCTCAACCCTTTCAGCTGAGAGTCATGGTACAGGAAGAGAAAACAGCAACATGGAAGGCAGTGTTGCTGAAAATAGTTTGAATCCTATGACAAAGGCCTATGCTATCTGCATAAAGGACTCCTACAAAAAGACAGGCTACATCTTACAAAACCTGGGAAGGAAGTGTTTGGTCACCAGAGGATGTTAAACTAGAACAAAAAGGGAAGGGTAGCAAGAGCCCAGGGCTGAATGTGCAGCCAAAGGCTGGGGCCAAGAAAGCAGAACTCAAGGGGAGAAGAGGAGGTCGCAATGAGGACTCACAGGAAGCGCAATAGAAAGGTCAGTGGGGAGCGATGCTTAATACCTCAGATGTTTCTACAATAATGTACAGAGCATGGAAAATAAACAGGGAGAACTAGAGATCCTAACTTAGGAAGACAAGTAAGATGCAATAGATTGAAGTTTGGTAGCATGATATAATTGGCAAGCCATAGCTCATTGAGAAGGAGGAAATCTAAAGGAAAGGGTGAGGATGTTACATTGTGTTGTTGTTGTTCAGTCGTTAAGTCGTGTCCGACTCTCCGTGACCCCATGAACCACATCGCGCCAGGCCTTCCTGCCCTTCGCTGCCTCCCTGAGTTTGCTCAGTTTCATGCTCATGGCTTCGGTGATGCTATCTAACCCTCTCATCCTCTGCTACATTATTACATTACATTATAATGTTACATTATACATAAAGAATTCCTGCCCTTCGCTGCCTCCCTGAGTTTGCTCAGTTTCATGCTCATGGCTTCGGTGATGCTATCTAACCCTCTCATCCTCTGCTACATTATTACATTACATTATAATGTTACATTATACATAAAGAAAAATTATACTTGCAGAGACATTTAGGAATTGTGGCATGGAAATCTTGTTGAATGTATTTGGCTATGAATAAAAGGTGAGAGAAAGAAAAGTACAGAAGTTTCTAATAGATCACCTTTTGTGTGAGATGATCAATCTTTCAAAGAAGCTTGTGACAATGACAATGGGAAATTTCAATCTAACTCTGCCAACAGGGAGCAAGAGATAAATTTAAGGCAACCTTAGGGCAAAGCAACCATGTGAATTTGTGACATCCAGGGAAGGGGGAACTGAGAAGAGTCAGACCTGCATATTGTACTTCAGAAGGGCAGATTGTGATGAACTCTAAAGAAGACAGGTCAGATCCAATGGCTCCAAATTCTGTGTCCACGAAGGATGGGAAATTCTACAAAATGAGTTAAGGTGCAATCACAAGCTGTCCTCACAAAAACGAAACATTGGAGAAAACTAAATAATGGATGCATGCAGATCTCTCTAAATTGCTGAAGAGAAAAGGGGACATATATAAGATATGGAAGGAGGGGAACTTAACCAAGAAGCATACAAAGCAGTCTCCAGAAATTGTAGGAACTCTATCAGAAAAGCTAAAGCTGAGAATGAGTGGAGGCTTGCAAGAAATGCCCTAAACAACAAAAAAGGCTTTGGGGGGAAGGTCAAAAACCCAAGGAAAGGCAAAAAGGCTGGAGGCCGGTTGAGAGAATGGGCTGAATTGGTCGCAGGTGTTGGCAAAAAGGCAGAATGTTCCAATAGAAGAGAATATATGAAGTGCTTGGTGCTCTCTGAATTTGGTTGTTTGCTTGCAGATGTTTCATTATCCAACTAGGTAACATCATCAGTGCTGGTGAGTTTGTGGTTTTCTCCCTGTTTATATACAGTAGCTTGCCCTGGCAGTGTTGGTGAAGGTGTGGTTTTCTCCTTGGTAGTTCCTTGGTTAGGCTGTTGTTTTCTGCTTGATTGTTTGTCTGGTGTTAATCCCTGTTTATCTGGGTGTTGGCTGCTGGAGGGGATGTGTTCTGGTCTTTTTGTTTCCTTCTTAGTTTTTTTTAATTGTCTCTTTTGAATGGTGGTTTTCTCCTTGGTAGTTCCTTGGTTAGGCTGTTGTTTTCTGCTTGATTGTTTGTCTGGTGTTAATCCCTGTTTATCTGGGTGTTGGCTGCTGGAGGGGATGTGTTCTGGTCTTTTTGTTTCCTTCTTAGTTTTTTTTAATTGTCTCTTTTGAATGGTGTGTAAATGTGGTTTATCTCTATGTGTCTATTGATGGCTGATTTGACTGAATGCAAAGCTTCCAGGAATTTCCTAACGTTTTTGGATTTGGCTTGGTCTAGGATGCTCACAGTTTCCCAGCTGAAACTGTGGTTGAATCTGTCCATGTGTTGCAAGATTAAGGAGTTTTCATTGTGTCTTCTGACTGTTAGTTGGTATGCATGGATGCGCTCTGTTAGTCTTCTTCCTGTCTGTCCTGCATAGTGGCTGTTACAGTCCTTACACCGTATGTTGTAGATGACTCTTGTTTTTTCTTCTTGGGCTACTGGGTCTTTTGGCTTACTTAAGATGTTTTGGAAGACTTTAATTGGTTTGTGTGCTACGGTGATGCTGCATGGTTGTAACAGTCTGTTGGTTGTTTCTGAGATGTTTTTGATATACAGTAGTGTTATTCTTTTCATAGCTTGTGTTGGTTGTGCTGTAGTGGGTTGAGTGGTCAGGCGCTTTTTGATAAAGTTGCGTGGGTATCCATTTTGTTGGAAGATGTTATATAGGTGGTCTGTTTCTTTTTTTTCTGGTGTTCTGGGTTGCTGCAGTGCGTTTGTGCTCATCTGAATAATGCTCTTACACAGCTCCTCTTGTAAGAGGTTGGGTTGTTACTTTGGTAATGCAGCACCTGGTTAGCATGGGTTGTTTTGTGTTTCTAATTTGCCATTGTTTTCTCTGCTGATTGTAAGGTTTACCCCGTTCAGCTCCAAAGAAACTCTTGTGACACGCAAGTT